ACCTGGAGGGTTTTCAACCTGCCCCAGGGGCCATGTTGTTCAAATCAAGCTGCAATGCATCAGCCCCAGCCTTTTATTAACAATGCCCTGTTATTAATCATTAATACTAATGGCAAGTGGCTTTTCTTAGCACCGGTGGTGGGTAATATTCATCATCCTTAATAATGGAAATTTATTGATGCTGATGGAGTGTCATGGTTCTCAAGGCCTTGTTGCATGTCCTGCGCTGTTTGTTTGGCCCAAAGCCCCAGCTCCTGGTATCCTGGGATCACACGGAGAGGCTCAGCTTTCACAGCATTTCCAGCCCTCCGTTTAGTATGCCAAAGCCAGAGAATGCGATCCCCTCTGCAGACTCGAAACTACTGGCTGCAGATGTGCCTGAGGTGTGATTATTTTTAAAATGCCACAGCTGTGAAGCTTCAGTAAAACGTGTCCTCCACGGTTGGACTGAGCCGTTTGCTCCACTGGCTTTCTACGTCTTCTCTCTCCTGGGACACAAAACCTGAAGAGCTGCTCATCTTAGACAATGGAGGCCACCCCAACCTGCCCGGGGACAGGGCAGCAGCTGCATCTACAACATTACCTGGCATGGAAAATCCCATGACCAGGGTGATGCAATTAAAATGGCACTGTGTAATGGAGGGTTGCACCCTTGTCTGCTTGCAGACAAGACTCCCTACAAGAGCCTCATAGTTAGCTCCCACTGGCCATTCCTGTGGGAGGATATCATCTACACACCAACTTTATGGAAATGGGAGATTCCTTCCTATCTGCAGCTGTACAGCGGAGGGCAAGCGAAACTTGGGGGCAGCTAAACCCCAAGCCCCCAGGCTTGGGCCTGCACGTAGGATGCTGGCCAAAGGATTTGGAAGTATCTGAAGCCCCAGGCTGAGGTGGAGGATACTTGCTGGTAGCGGGGCCACGTATGGTTCTTGGATGATTCAAATGGATTTGGACCTGATTCAGCTGTTTCGACCTGGGACATGAAAATTTTTCCTTAAAAAAAAAAAAAAAAAATCTACACCTTGAGTAAATGGATAAGCAAATGTCCTGATCTGGGAGAATCAACTTGTTGAGGTTTCATATTGTTTTTACAGGAGAACCTGCATTTCAAAGTGCAGCAGGTTTTTTGTCTGGAAAACCCAAATAAGCCCTTCCTGGGGGAGCTTTGCTGTCTTTGAAATGGACTTTTCTAATGGCAAACCTGGTCTAATGGGAAAGGCCTGACCAGGTCTCAGGATAAAGAGCAAGAGCTGGGTGCAACGACCTGGAAGGGTTGAGACTACTCTAACACCATGCCTGGAGCCCCATCAGCAGCTCCCAGTTTCTTTGGGCCACAACCCTAGTTCTGGGCTCCTGATGCAGGCTCTGCTCCAAGTTAACTGCTTGTCTGTGACCTTGCTCATCCGTGACGTGACCCCAAACGGGGCTGTGACTCCTAGTTTGGGAACTGCTGCCCGAGATCCTAGCTGGGAAACGCAGCCGGGGTGGGGGGTGGATTGACCCCTGGGCTTTTGGGGCCAGGCACAAGGTCACCTTGGGCTGTGGTTAAGTTGTGATGTGGGAGACTCCCTGTGCTCCCCTGGCAGCCCCAGGCATCTCAGCACCCTCTCCTGCCTGGAGCACAAAGGTGCCCCTGGAGTCTGCTTCTCCTTTAAAACCCAAAGGCCTTGTGGGGGTGAGGAAAACCTGGGCAATGGGATCCAGCTGTGAGTGATGCTTTCTGAGCCTACAGGGAGCTGGGATTAGCCCCCCAGCTCCAGGGGCAACAGATCCCAGCCCCCCTGAACAGGGCACTCTGTGAGTGGCAGGAGGGGGCAAATGCAGTGCTATCTCTCACGCCAAGCAGATACACCCTGGCTACGGGGGTAAGTGCTGACAGCTCCTCCTTGCTGCCCCAGGCCACCTAGGAGAAACGAGGGGTTGTAGCCATGAGTGTGTGTGTGTGTGTGGGGGGGGGTGTCCAGAAGCGCCATGTCCAGCTGGGCCTGCATTCCTGGAGTTGTGGCTATGGCAGGAGGGTCCCACGGCTTGCAGCAAGGTGTCAGTGCCATCCAGGGTAGAAGGGACCATGGCCAGCTTCCCCAAGCATGGAGCACCCCTGTGGGTGAGCAGCATGCTAGACACACAGGCCGGGCCCTCCCCAAGGGCCCTGATCCTAATGGGGACATGGGGTGGGGAAGGCTCTTCCTTGTGGTCGCCCAGAAGGGTAGGGGTGGGGCAAGGATGGACCCAGGGCTCTACCCACCAGGCCTCATGGCCAAGACATGACAATTCTGGGGGCTGAGGCCCCCTCCGCTGCTGTCCTCAGCACAGGGCTGTTTGTGCTCAGTCGCTCTCCGGGGGCTGTGGCATGTCGGTGGCATCTTTGTCTCTGACCTTTCTCTGGGAGCCCTGCAATGACAGCCGCTTCCCTGCCAAGGCTGCGGGCGATCCAGTCAGTCCCCTGGGTCCTGATCTGGAAGCCGCCTCAGACCTGACTCCGAGTAAGACCCGGCTGATGGCAAGGTGGAGCCCACCTGCTGCCAGCAACCAGCCTGCTGCCGAACCTGGCCAGGGGCAGACTGCTGCCCTCCGTGCAAAGCATCCTGGGGCTGTGAATCATCAACCAGAGTGAGGAGGGGCTTGGCATAAACTCGCCCCCACCCCGCCCGGCTCCCGGGGCACTGAGGCTGGGCCAGCAGATGTTTGCCATGCACTTTGAGGTCTGGGGTGGGAGGAAGGCCCCGCCTGGCTCCACTGATGCTGTTTGCTGAGGGTGTTTCCTGGCTGGAGATCCCAGCCTGCTGGAAAAGCCCTGCATTGTCTCCCTGCCAGCACTAGCTGGGCCTGGCTGGGGCAGCGAGTCCAGACAGTGATGCCCACACCACTCGCATTGCCCCTTGCTGGCTCTGGGCCCTCTGCATTGTCACCCTGACCCCAGGGAACGACACAGCTGGCTTCAGGTGCCAGGAGAGCCAGCTGCCTGGCTGGGGCGCCCCGGGCAGCCTCACAGCACAGCAGGGACCTGAGCAGATGCAGCCGAGCTGGTGGCAGGGGGCTGCAGAGGCTGGGCTGGGAAGGGGGGGGATGAAGCCTGGGCCAGGAATTTTTGTTGATGGAAACTGGGGCTTTGCCAGCAAAAACGTTCCCTTTCTGCGACGCGGCATATCCAGCCCCCCGGCCAGGGCAGGTCCAGGGCGCAGGAAGCGCCGTGTCCTGGGGCATCGGAGCTCGATGCCGCCGGGCTCGGGGAGCAGATCGCGCCGTAACGGTTCAGCGGAGAGCTCCTGGCCCCGCGCGCGGAGAAGGGGCCCGGCCCGGCTGGACTGGCCCTGGCGCAGGAGCAAGTCCTGAGTCCACGCGAGTCCGCTGGGCTCCAGCAAGGTGCTAGTCACGAGCGCGTCCCTTGCTGGTCTGGGCCGCCTGCATTCCCCGGGCGGGACGTCGTGGTCACTGTCGCGGCCCCCAGGGCTCCTGAGGTGCTCGGAGCTGGGCCCTCACCCACCCAAGGCCCATCTTCTCTCCTCTCGCAGCCCGGCCTGGGGCTTTTCCTGCTGCGCTCGCGCCAAGGCCATGCCCCTGCGCCGAGCCTCCCCAGCGGGACTGAGACCCGCCGTGGCGTGCGCGGGGGGCCCGCTCGCGGGCTGCTGTCGGGCGGAGCAGCTGCTGGGCGCCTACGAGGACAAGGAGCGGGACAACAGTCCGCGTGCCCCCGCGCGCCCCTGGCAGCGAGCGGTGCCCAGGTGGCGGAGCTGGGGGCGCGGGCCCAGGCTGCTCCATCCCGAGGCCCAGTGACACTAGCGCCCCGGTGGGGGCCTCAGTTTCCCCGTCTGCGCAAGGGGCGCCCGCGTCTTGCCGCCTCCCCCCGCCCGGGCCCTCCCTGCCGCAGAGCCGGGGGCGGG